GTGTTATATAAACTTTGTAAAATTCTCATCACAAATTCTAAAATAATAAATACAAGTCATAACATTTTAAAATTCACAAGGTTCTCCTCTTTAGGCAGCTGAATGATGGTCAGTGTGAGCGCCTCAGATGCGGGTTCACACACAGCTATTCCCATTTCCCAGTTGTAATTTTTTTTAATTAAATGATCTTAAATAACAACTTTAGGTCTTTGGAAATGGCAGAATGTAACTGCAACTTCTGTCACATAGTTTTGCATCTCTGGAAAATTTAAAGGCCTAGAATTTCTTGAGCATGTCATTCAAGTCTGCTTTTAGCACTGAATCAGATGCAAAGTTAAGTTTAGATATCCCTAAAAAATTAGCAATTACATGTTTCTGATTATTATTTCAGTTCATTCATTATGCTGTAAAGCTTTAAGGCTGAGTGTTTGAATTAAGGAGATAGCAGTAAACAAATTCTCAAACCTCTTTGAATTTGGATTAAAAAGTATTTCCTCAAATTTTTGCATTTAAATATGATTTTTTGATAGATATGCCCACTAACATGTTATTTTCCTTTAGTTAGTAAAATCATTAAATGTTGGAAAGAGCCACTGCCCTGAGTAAGGGGCATATTACATTTACACTAGAGTTCAGTCAGTTTAAAATCCCAATATTGTATTCTTACCTTAAAAATATTTTGGCACTGAAGTGATAGGTTGTCTATTCAAGACCTAAACATATCTCTTGAGTAAACCCACTAATATCACAAAAATAGTCTTTAGTAGTACTGGTCATTATGAAAGTTGAGATATATAAAAATTAAAAAACATAGAATCTGTATGATGGAAACAAATGAAGCTCTCCCAACAATAGCGATAACCTGATCAATTTGGAACTTGCCTGGGTGAATTAGAAAGGACTCTGTTCACTGAGCTTCTTGGAAGTAAAACAATAGACCATCTATAACACAGTTTCTCAGTCTTATGGGGCTCTTGGAAATACCTCTAAATTTCATCTTGAGTTTAGGAGAGCATAGAGATTTAATCCAGTTTAGCTTCTACAGCCAGACCATCATTTACTTATTGTATTACCTGGGAGAAATTATTTAATCATTTTGTTATTCCTCTATAAAATAGAGATAATAATTCTCTCTATATTATGGTATTATTATTTAAATAATTTAATGCACATAAGTACTTTTACAGTATCTAGAATGTAGTAAACACCAATAATTCACCAACTTATAGGACATGTAAAAATGTGGTGACTTGCTTTGGTGTCCTCTCATTTAGTAGGCATATAACCCTGCTCTCTAGCACCAGACTTCCCTAGCACCACATGACAACTGGCAATCATAATCACTCTTGCTCAAGGTCTAAGTCCTAACAAAATAAATCTATTTTTCTTTCTTGGTCAGCACTGTTCTTTGTTCTCTAAACTGTTCATGATCTCCCTAGGTCCTAATCCTTTGCCTTGTTTCCTCTCACTTGTCCCAGACCTGACCAGAGTCACCCATTATACTCCCTACTTGGCAAGATTATGTGCAGCATAAACCCATAACACTGGGCTGATATTCCAAATAGATAGACATCTCCTGGAAGCTTACTCCTTTTTTTAAAAATTAAGTCATAAACACATAGATCATGTATAGTATACATTGATGCCTTTATGGGGTACAGTGTGCTAATTTTATATACAATTATGAAGCTTACTCTTGACAAAATCATTGATGTCTAACAGATAGCTTAAGAGTGTAAGGGAGGCTTAGTATAACTAGTTCCATTTTGCTTTTGACCCCCTGTGGTAATATTCTTTAGGTTAAAAGCTTCTGCTTAGCTCTACATGTAGGCTAAGAGAAAGATAATAACTGGATGAGAAGAAAGATGACAATTGTTTCTTTGCCAAATGGATAAGAAAAATATACACACAAGTAATATGCTATGTTAAAGACTTTTGGGAACATTCTGATCTACCTGACCTTTGTTCTTCAAAGTTAACTGACCCAGATCAGAGAAGTTTTACAACCTCCTTACATTAATGATTTTCAACCGGTATGCCACAGCACACTTGTATGCTATGAGAGGATTTTAGGTGTGCTGGGAAAATTTTTAAGGATCATTACTTAAATTATTTTTGAAAGAAGTTCAAAGCACAATAAGTATATTCTTTTGACTCTTTTTTTGATTAACGTAATTTAGGTTCAAGTGTGCTATGTGATAAAAAAGGGTTGAATAACACTGCCTTAGACATTCACCAACACCCAGATGTCTGTGGCCCTTGGTTACATCAACTCAACAACCTTCTCTCTCCTTCCCTTAAGATAAAAAGGAGCTTAAAATTTCTACTAACTTAATCTGGTTCTTTGGGACATTAGTCTTCCATATTTTTGATTTGCTGGCTCTTCAAATAAGAGTTGCTTTCCTTGCCCCAACACCTTATCTCTCAACATATTGGCTGTCCAATGATGATGATATGAGTTTTAACTCAGTTACTATATCACTAAGTTGATTCTTTAGCAAAAACTTGATAAATGAAATTTTTTTTTTTTAACTTGGAGAGACCATAGTAGAGGTAAACATTGCAGAATGGTACATCAAATGTATTTTATTACACTTAGAAATTATATGAAGACATCATAGTTATTTTATAACATTAGAAATTTTATCAGAAACTATGTGAAGCCATTATAGTTATTTCACTAGACAACTTTGAAAAGGAATTTGGTATAATATGTCCTCCTCTTGTTGAACTAGTATATCTTACTTTTAACTTTTAATTTAGATGCTTCCAACTATGTAGCATCCAAATAACTGTCTTCATTCATGAGATTTATAGTATTTGGAGTTCAAACCAAGGAGGAAAATTGAGCATTCAACTCCAAAATGCAAAAATGATAACAAACTATGGTTACAAAATTTCTTCTTAAACCACTATGGAGAACAGTATGAAGGTTCTTTAAAAAACTAAAAATAGAACTACCTTAATACCCTGTAATCCCACTGGGTATTGCTATATTTAGCAATATAGCCAAAGGAGGGGACTTCGGTACATTGAAAAGATATCTATATTTCCACCTTTATTGAAGCACTAGTCACAATAACCAGAATTTCAAATCAACCTAAGTTTTCATCAATGGATGAATGGATAGAGAAATTGTGGTATATACACACAATGGAATACTATATCATTTACAAAAAGAACAAAATCTTGCCATTTGCAATAACATGGATGGAAGTGGAGAACAATATGTTAGATAAAATAACAGAAGTAGAAGTACAGAAAGACTAAGTTCACATGTTTTCATTCATATCTGGGAGATGAATATTAAAAATCAGTAATCTTATGGAAACAGAGAATAGAATGATGGTTACCAGAGGATGAGAAGGATAATGGGGAGGGGAGGATACAGTGGGGATGTGTTAGATATTTAGGATAAACAATATAGTAGAATCTCTGTAGGCTGACCAATCAAGGAACTGTAACAAATCTGTCAACTTACAGAGGTGGTCAACATAAGGAACTAGGCCTATTGTACTTAATGAGGTGGTCAACTATGGAGGTTCTACTGTATTTGATATACAATAAAGTGACTATAATCCACAATAAGTTAAGGTAGATCTTAGAATAACTAAAAGATTGGAATTGGAATTTCCTATAACTAACACAAAGAAATGACAAATGCCTGAGATGATCCTTACCAAGTCCTTACCATAGCCAACAAGGCCTTGCGTGATCTGTCCTCTATCTCTCATTCACTGCACTATAGTCACAACAGTGTCCTCTTTACCCCTTGAGCAGGCTAGATCTGCTCTGGCCTCGGGATATCTGTGTTCACTTTTGCTGCCTGGAATGCTCATCTTCTTGCTCAGATGCTAGTTTCTCATTGAGGCCTTCCCTGACTACCCTAGTTAATTCACAGCTTCTTTCCCTCTGTAACGTACTCCATTTTTCCTATAATACTTATCACTTTTTAACATTCCACATAATTTACTCATGTATCATGTTTATTATTGTCTTCCTCTGTTCAAATGTAAACTCCTGAGGGCAGCAGTTTCCATCTGCATGGTTTATTAATATTATCTCTAGCACCTAAAACAGTTCCTGCTACAGAGAGGGTGTTCAATAAATTTTGTGGAATGATTGGATTTTTATAAGTATCTCTATTCTTCCTATAAATTATTTCTCACTACTGTTAAGCTCTTCTGGATTTACAGCAAATCTATTCTTTTAAATGTTGATTAAAATATGTTTCTTCTTTCCCCCTTCTCTCTGGCAGCTTTCCTCAGTGTCACTTTGCCCAGCCAAAACTGCAGGGCTGAATAAAGGAGAATAAGAGAACAAACAATGGGGAAGCTAACTCAATGAATTTAGTGGCAAAGCTAAACTATTATCACCATCACGGAAAGACTTACTGCCAGCCCAACTCAACAACAGTGAAAAGTCATTATCATTTTTAAACTCTATTGACCAACTGTCATCTCTTGTGAACTTGAAAGCAATTCACAGACTCAAAATTGTGTGAATCTTTAAATTATGTCAATAATAAATGTGTGTTAAGCAACAGTAGAAAGAAAGTTTAAGTGTGTGGGTTGGAAATCAATCTACACGAATAACCTAAGTTATCAAGCTCATCTTATTTAAAAAAAAATCCTATTTTTAACCTATAAAAGAAACCTGAAATGACATAGAAAACAAATCAGAAATCATTTATGTTTTAAAGATTTCTTTCCATCTTCTTTCCTCAGCAATCATAACCCAAACTATATTTATAATAGGCATAACATTACATAGAGAAGTGCAATAGTGTACTACTCCACAAAGTAGGCAATGTTTCTAGACAGATAATGGAAAAATATTTGGCAAAAAAAATTTTTGTTTTTGGGATTCATTTATCAAGGGATGACAACCAAAATTATATTTAATCATATTTATCATTAAGACCGTAATCAATTATGGATAATATTTACAATCTTATAATTTTCAGTTTTAAAGAAATTACTTCATAAAAGAGAACTCACTTCAGATTATACGTATCATATTCAATGGAAGACCTTGGCACTGCAGGGATCATATAAAGAAATCCAAGATTTTCATTTTCACGTATTATTTTAATGATTTGCAAGGGATCAGAGATGTTGGATTTAATAACTTCTTCCTGGTCTTTGAAAATGTATGTAGGGTAAGCTGAAGATCGAGTCCCAAACAGACCTCTTCTTCCAATACTCGCCCGTGGCAGTTTAGGAGGAGAGGGAGCGTACATCTCAGAAGAGCGCTGATGGATTTAAACAAAGTCAGTTGTTTTTTAATGAGTTTTTGCATACACACTCAGAAGTGACCAAATATTACCCTCAGGACTAAGTATAAAAATGTTCAAGCTATTGTTAGGCAGTGATACTCCTTTTCAGTTTTCCCTGTCCATGCCCATCCCCTTCACACACACACACACACACACACACACACACACAATCCCAGTGTCAGCTCCTATTGCCTCCCTGCTTGGTTAACTCAGTGTTTATTACATGAAAATAGTACCAGCTCTCTGGTGTTCATGGGGGTCCACCACCCTCCTTGCTCAGTTGCTCTGTATCTGTCCTGACTGCAGTCCCTCCTCTCAACCTCTTCGGCTGTTCCAACAACTTTATTAGAACTCATAGTCAGTTTACTTCTTTGTGAATATGAGGGGTGGCTACATTGAGTACTGGAAATCATTGTGTGATAGCCTTAGAGAAGCATATGGTTTGGTTTTTTTTTTGCAGTTTTTGTCCGGGGCTGGGTTTGAACCTACCACCTCTGGCATCCCTACTCCTTTGAGCCACAGGTGCCACCTGAGAAGCATATGATTTATTAATTAATAATTGTCGATTTTATAGACCAGATCTTCTCAAATTTAAATATGCATGTGAATTACTGCAGATTTTGATTCCTTGGTGCTGGGGTGAAGCCTGAGCTTCTGCATTTCTAACCTGCCCCAAGGATGTGGATCTTGTTGGAACACGCTTAGAGCTGAGTTCTGCCCCATATGCTCACACCTTGAGCTTTGCTCTACTATCCAGATCTCACTGCCTGTGCTCTCAGAGCCAGTTACACCCCTTTGTTTCTCTGTGAAAATCTTGGGTGGTATCAACCGTATCCTTTCCTCCTGTGTAGGAGGTTAATCAGTGTGTTTGAGGAAAACTGAACACTAACTCCAAAGGTTAATGTTAAATTAATCTATATCTCTCTGATAGCATAGGGTAATTGGCTTTATAGTAAAAAAAGTCACCATAGCGTACCCGCTTTGCTGAATAACTAATGCAAAGATATTAATGATTATTTTATTACCTATTAGCATAGCTAATCAAGGCTGCCATTTCTGCAGGAGACTTGTTACCTCAAGCTCTGTGGAACAACTTCCTAGAAAGTTTGTGTTTGTATATTCACAGGGATCATTATTCTCCATCTCCGATTAAATATAACCTGATGAACAGCAGTTTGAGAGAAGCTGAGCAGGTTCAGAGCTGAAAGAAATGCGTCTTTAAACCCAAAAGATAAAATGTGCTTCTTCCCCTTATTGGCCAGGGATGGCAGTAACAGCACTGTTCTGTGTGACAGAAGAGGACAAACCTGATACCTAGAGTCAGAGAAAACACTCATGGCCTCACCTCAATGTCTCAACAAGGGCTGGAGTCAACTTTATATTCTTATGAGACTAAAAAATTAATATTTTAACAGAAAATGCATTTATTTTTGTCATTCCATCTTTAAAAAAGTTTTACTTCTTTCTAAGTAAAAGATTTCTTCAATAACGGGGCCACACATTTTCATCTGAGCACTTATTTCTAATTATATAACAAAGTGGGAAGATGTAATTTCATTTAGCAGTTACATATGCTCAAACGTGGGGGTAGGAAATAAAGGAAGCATTCATTTCTGAAATATGAACAACTGTGGTCTTCCTCTCTGGAAGTCACTGTCTTTCTTCCAATTTGTAAGGCACCATCTTTCTTAAATTATCAGAAGCCTCCAACTTGCCTTCCTTTCTGCCTTCCTTCATCTCTTCATTGTTGCATTTCTATTCTAAACTTATTATGAGAAATAAATACTGGAAAAATTACCCTCTTCTCAGAATATGTATCATTCTCTGTGTATATGAAATGTCCTCTTCTCCCCACATTGCCTTTTAATCTCTAGTTCTTTACTGAATTCCTCACTGAGTGACAGTTACAATTAGGAAGCATAACCCATAACCTAACATTCCTTTTCAGCTCTCCTCTTTCATTACAGATGCCCAGACACATTTCTCTCCTTTTTTTAAAATTCAAGTTCTTGAAGCCCACTTTATGCCAAATAAATTAATTTATGGGCAATCAAATCTTTTCTGGCTCTACTTAAGACAGCTCCTTCTGCACTTTACAGAAACCATATTAACTGAGGCTATACAAAAGTCCATGTAATTCCTCATATGATTTCATTCTCTCAGGAAGATCTCACCTAAGCCCATGGTGAGCTCCCACCTCTCTCATCTTATCTGTCTCATTAACTCTTCACTCATTCTCTGAGCTTAGTGCACCTCCCAAGGACAGCTTTTTCTTCACTGGCTGGCTTCCTGACAGTCAGGTTATAAGAGTCCCTTCTCTTCAGTTCTTCATCATTGTGAACCTTAAACAACAAAGGAGAGCTCTTACCATGCTGCAGTGTGCTTGAGTGCTCACTTGTCCACCTATCCACCTTCAGAGTCTGACATCCTCGAGGGCAAAGCTTGTCCTCAGCTCTGTTTGTCCTGTACTCTAGCTCAATGCCTGGAACTTGATCAGTACTTAAATGTTTAAAGAGTGTCAAGGGATCCTCTCAGTCAAAAGCTCAGAGAAATCTTGGCTCTGTTGGTATCTGTACTGTAGGTATGCCCTTCACATTTTCTCTCCTGTTTTTCCTCTTTAATTATCTATAAATATTTATCTAAAGCCAAGCTCTAGTGATTTCTCCCCTGAGCTACTATTCATTTATGCTTTGCAAGGCAACTTCTCCACTCCACAACTCTCATGAGCTATACAAGTTGTCTTTCTAGCTGGCTTAGTCTCTATTTTATTGCCTTTCATCAATGTCTTCAAAAAATGGTATTTGGGGTAAAAATGATGAAAAGTTTTAAAAAGTTACTACATTCAAAACACTATTACGTCTTCTTTTAACATTTAAGAGAAGGTCAGAAAACACTGTAAAATGCTGAAAATTTCTGCTACTATACAAGTTTTCCTTAAGTAATAAAAAATAATTATGCAACATTACCGAAAACAATTTTGCTACTATTCTCTTGAGTTAAAAGCGTGTTAGCAATGCTATACAGAATTAAAATTAGAAGGATAAATTAAGTATTTTAATCTTATACCTGCGCTTTTTTCACAGCATCTTCCTGTATAGCAAACTGAATAGGTAGTTTTATAGAACTTTTTTCTCCAAAAGCAGTTGAAGGTTTGAGGACTCCAGAAGACAATAACTGAAGTCGGTTCTGTTCATATATATATTCTGGCTGCTTATGATCTTGGTAGACTTTTAGCACTGGCTTTGAGAAATAGAGAGACATGTTAATCTTTTTAACATTGGTGAGTATGAGAACTTGGCTTATTTTTCAGTATCGATGGACTCTTTCCCTGCTGGAAATTTATTCCCTCCTTGGACTAATTTTCTATCAAAGCCATAGTCTTAACAGCAACCACCACCATTGCATGTCCCTGGCCTATTGCTTGAATAGGACTTCTCTACTTGGTTTCCTTTAATTTTATACTTTAAATTACCAATGAATCCTTCTACAAATAAGTTATCACATAAAAGACTCAGAGGCGTGAAATTGTATACCCCCTAATTGTCCACTGCAAACCCCCATCCCATACTACCACTGCCGTGGGAAGAAATGTACAATCCTACCACTCTGTCCCAAATTCATCCATCATTTCCCAAGGTCATAGTTGACTGAAAACCTAAAAATAGCTGGCATTACCTCAGGCTGACCTAACTCCAAATTATGGCAATAAAATCCCAGTTTTTAACATTGTAAATAGAAGTGAGAAATTTACCATAATGGATTTTCATTTTTAAGCATTATGAGTTTAGCATGATAACTAATCTCTTATAATGGAAAAAAAAGTGTGAGAGTAAGTAAAAGAAACAGCTGTTATGTTTTCATGTGAATTGCATTTGGTTTTGGATAAAAATCCCTCTTGAGCCATTTGCCCATGAAAGGAAAATGTTAGCTAGTATCACAGAGATAAGGGAGAGCTAATCTTTATTAATAGTGCTAAAAAGGAATAGAGACCATAACCACAAATTGAAAAGTGGGAGAAGAGATGGGGTTTGTTTAGGATGACTTCACAGAAACAAAATGGTGATCTATAAAAACGATAACATTAGTGTACACTGACAAAACCCTTTTCTGAAACCTACTGAAATGAACAAAGAAAACTTAACTGAAATTAAGACGCTAACACATCATAACTAGGATTAGAATTAAAGTAAAGGAACATTGAGTATTAAATGCACAACTAGGCCAGAAGTGGTGGTTTATGCCTGTAATCCCAGCACTCTGGGAGGCTGAGGTAGATGGATTGCTTGAGTTCAGGAGTTCAAAATCAGCCTGAGCAAGAGACCACTCTCTACTAAAAATAGAAACAAAACTAAACAACAAAAGAACTAGCTGAGTTTGAACAACCTCAAACTCTTGGACTTGAGCAACCCTCTTGCCTTAGCCTCCCTAATAGCTGGGACTTCAGGTGTCAGGTGTCTTCAGGTGTCTTGCTCAAGCCCAAGAGTTTGAGGTTGCTGTGAGCTACAATGCTACAATGACACCATGGCACTCTACCCAGTGCAAGAGAGTAAGACTGTCTCAAAAACAAAAACAAATGATAAACACACAACTAAATCCCCACCCCCAAACACACATACATATTTGAAAGTACGAGGCAGAAAAACAGATTATCTTTAAAGTTATAACAAACAGCTGACATCTCAATAGTATCAATGGAAGTCATAAGTTGTAGATTTTTGGATTGAAATTCTCAATCCAGAATTCTATGCCCAGTGAATAGATCTTTCAAGAATTGAAAATTCCTGAAATAAACATATTTCATATAAATAAAATATGATAGAATTCATCACTGGTACAATTGTAACAAACTCTAAAGGCTTTTCTTCAAGCAAAAAGAAATGAAAAGCAATAAATATGAAGTAAATCCAAATAAACGGTAGCTGAGCAAAGATAATAAAAATCATTTGTAGTGTTTAGAATATGTAAATTAAAGAGGTGGTAAGAGGTATAAAAGAATGCAATCTGGGAGGAGGGTAAAGATAAAATTTTGATAGTTTAAGGATATATGTAATTTCTATCGCTAACAGAATAGTAAACAGAATAATGTATAAATTCCAATTTGTAGTTTGAAAAAAGGAATTAAGAAACAACTCAAAGAACATAAGACAGGAAAGAAACAAAAAACAGGTTGGACAATTAGAAAGTACAAAATAGAGGTTTAAACATAAGTATCTCAGTAACCACACTGAAGGAAAATATATTTAATGTTCCAGTTAAAAGACTTGTTAGTTTGGATTAAAAACAAATCACATGCTATGCTGTTTATGAGACATCTAAAATGTAAATACACAGAAAGGTTGAAAAGGATGGAAAAATCATAACAGGCCATTATTTAAGAAAAGAAAGGTGATGTTGGCTATTTTAATATCAGATAAAGTAAACTAAAAGCTAAAAGTATTATTAGTGATAAAGAGGATCACTTCACAATAATAATAAGGCTTAATTTACTGGAAATAAAAGAATTTTAACTTTATGTGTATCCAATAATATGACCTCATATACATAAAGCACATAAAACTGACCTAGCAACTAGGATCATTAAAGCAAAAACTCATGGACATCCCTAACATAACAAAGCGGCAAAATCTTTCCCGTGGCATTAAAAATCCAGGTAGATAATTTAAAAACACTAATAATCTATATGCTGGAGGAAACATAGGGAAAGCAAGAAGACATGTAATGTCCTTAACAATGGGGAACCTTAAAATTTCTAACAGACACTCCATGGAAAACATGACAAGAGAAACCAAGAATAGCAATGGAAACTAAATATGAGTTCTTCAAATTCAAACTTACAGGCTACTGATGCCAAGTCTGAAGATATCAGAGTAGTCTCTCAGTTCCCTAAACCAGGCAGCCTCAAACTATAGCCTGCGGGCCACAGGTGGCCCGCTGAAGACATTTATCTGGCCTGTCGGGTGTTTTTGCTGCTGCTGCCTGTTCTGCTTAGCAGCCAACTCATCCTGGGGCCCATAGTCTGGCCCTCCAATGGTCTGAGGGACAGTGAACTGGCCCCCTGTTTAAAAAGTTTGAGGACCCCTGCTTAAGTTCTCAAAACTAACAACAATAAAGATCTATCCTAGAACAAAGTCACAGAACAACTATGGGCAACTGAATCCTAATTGAGTAAGACAGACACATAGAGGCAAAGAAAAGAGACCATCCAAATAAAAGTTGGAAAAAGGAGCAGAGGAAACAGATCTCAGAAAGTACATTAGCGATCTTTCTAATCAATTAGTGAAAACAACAGATGAGGAAGTTCTGGAGTTTTGAAAACTATCTTAGCTACCCTTTCTTCTTTTACAACCCCACCCCCCCCAGAAAGCACAGGAAAACTAACATCATTTTACATCTGTATTATAAGCAATGAGCAACAGAAAGGACTGTAGTTAACTCTTATACTAAATTATTTTAGGAAAAACATAAAGTAACATAATGACAGCTCCATGGATAGTGGAAATGCTCTTTGCTCACCTTATGAGGATATAAGACCAAATGATCATTTTGAAAACAGAAAAATAAAGAGAAAAAAACCAAGAAGTTGTTCTGCAAACTGTAGCTAAAGGCACCAAATAGTAAAAAAGAGGGAGGCTTCTCCTTAATGAAATAGTACCTAAAGAAAGGAATGATAGAATTTTAACATTTTATAAGCCCTAATGAATTGATAGGCCTAGGTAACGATCATCAATAGCTGCTCATACTAAAAAAAAGAGAGACAATTAGACACTATGGGCCAATTAACGAAATAACATTACACCTGCTATGAAGTAGTTACACCAAAACAAATCTCTAAGCTGAATTAATTAATCCTCTAGATCAGTGATTTCAACCAGTGTGCTGTGGCAACACTGGTGTGCCAAGAGAGCATCACAGATGTGTGGCCAAAATTTTTAAGATCATTAATTAAATTATTTTCAAAAGAAGTTCAAAGCACAATAATCATACATATTAAAATTAAAGCTTCTTTAAATTGACTATATGAGTATGTCATTGTTATAATAAATTAATGTTTTATTGTTATAATAAACAAACACTGGCTTATTTTTAAAGTGAGTGGGGTGTAGCCTTGACAAATAAGGTTTCACAACATGTCCATAGATGGTGGGATTTGACAAGGATTTGCTGATGAACACCAATATATGTCAAAATCATCTGAAGTGAACGAAGCCCTATGACTTAGGAATCCCTTGTGCCTGAAGTAGTAAGGAGGTACAGCTCGTGTTGAATGTGTTGTACAATTATGTCAAGATTTGAAACAGTGAAGCAGTTGGATGCAATTACCTTGCAAATCCTAGTTCTGAAAATTTTCCAAGTATTTTTAATTAACATCTATATTTCTTTTTAAAAAGTACGAGTTATTTATTTATTTTTGATTTGGTATTTTTTATTTTTTTTAACACAGTGGTCAATTAAAATGGACAAGTTTTTAGTAAAGAAACAAAAGTTAGAAGACAACACTAGTGCATGGAATACTGCTTCATCCAGTACATCAGCAACTAAATTAAAAACAATTATTATTAGTATAATGAGGATTATTTATCATTTGGTTTCATGTGTAGTAAAGGAAATCCATCATGTCCCACATGGATAATTTATGGTGAAACATTAACAAATGAAGTTATGGTTCCTAGCAAATTTAAGAGACATGTACAATCCAGACATTCCCTTTGTCCAAAAAGCCAGTGGAATAATTCAAAGGAGTTGCATTCAGTAATACTAAACAAGCAAAAATATGGGCCAAGTATGCAACGATACCAGATAAAGCACAAGAAGGGAGTTACACAGGTGAAGAAATTGTAGCTAGGAAAAGGAAATCTCATACAATCACAAAATTGTTATTTTACCTGCCTGCCATGCAACTGCAAAAACAAGGTTTGGAGAAGAATATGAAAAGGAACTTTTTAAACTTCCAATTTCAGATAATACAATTTCACAAAGTATTAAGAATTTATCTGGAAATATGGAATTTTAAGTAATGTCTCACCTCAAAGAAGTAAACATGTTTGTAATTCAGTTGGATAAATCTATTGATATCAGTGGTAAACCCCAAGTTTTAGCATTCAGATTTGTCTATAAAGAAGAAATCATAGAAGAGTTTTTATTTGTCACTACTCCAAACAACAACAAAGGGCCAAGATATTTTCAATTTGATTGATAATTGCTTTAATTCTAACAACTAGTTTTGGGATTTCTGCATACAT